GGGGGGGGGGGGAGAAGGGAGAGGTGAGAGGGAGGTAGAGAGGTAGAGAGGAGTTTTAGTGAAGCAGGCGGGGTGGGCATCTGCCTCAGGCGTCCGCCTGGCATGGCCACACTTTCCAACCTATGGCTCCAAGGACCTGTTCGCCAGTAACCTAGCTCATAGACCTGCGTGAAGGGGCCTAGGGACCCAGCCTGGCATATGAAGGGTTTGTGACCCAGTCTGTGACTGGGCTTGAGGGGTCTGGGGGCTCCAGACCCAGCCCTAGCTGGACAATCGGCCCAGTCGGTGCAGGATTAGGGCAGGTAAAAGAGCCCGACAACCAGCGTGGTCACCTATCTTTACAATTGGCGTCATGAACAGGATTAAGAGCACTACAATTGGCTCTGTGAGCAGGATTCCAGACATTAGCCACAGCAGATCACTGCAACTCTTAATTTACAAAATAAAATGTTATTTTTTTTACCAAGTCCCTTAAACTGTAGTACAAATTTAAAATTTAAAATAAAGACCTATACCCCTCAACTGGGATATGCTGGTTTAGATCAGACTCCTGATATTTGGAGTCTAATACTTCTGGTATACACTTTCTTTTGTCATTTCTGTCTAGTACCTGTTACTGCTTTTCATCAGGCGTAATTCTCAGACACTGGCATTAACCTAAAATGTTAAACTAATGATTGAAGTTATGAATGCGCTAGACTCCTTTCTGTCTGTGATCAGCAGTCCATGAATAATAAAAAAGGGATATGTCAGCAGAGTGTCCTTGATCTGCCCCAATTCAATGTGACTGTTTTTCGTGATCCGTCTTGGGTAACAGGGTCTTAAACCTTCATCTCAGGGGAGTGGGAGCTGGAGGGTCTTGCTAATTTCCTTCTGTTGGTGATCATCCCACAGGCAAGTTTCTGTTGTTTCAGCCTTCTGGTAGGTAACATCTTATCCACTTTTTGAAGTTTTTATCAAGGTGGGCAAGAGATTAAATCCAGATAATAAATTACACTTAACTCTTGTTTTAATTGCTACATACTTCAGGGGAATTGTAGTTATTTTTTTAAGCTGGCAGGCGAGGAGAGAGGAAAAGACACTGGAGAGTTGTTGGAAGAGTAGTAGCTGGCGAGTAAAAAATAACACTCTGAGAGTTTAAAGTTCATTTCCTGGTATGTCGTACTCATCAGTACTTATTTCTCCCAAAGTCAACCCGACATGAGCCCATCGTACCATCAGCCGCACACCGTTTTCCATAGCCGTCACTCATAGACCTGAAGCCATCAGCACAGAAACACTCGTAACTTCCTTTGGTATTTTGGCAGTTCTGGGGACAAATCCCAAATTCCTCACATTCGTTGATGTCTGTAGGCAAAATAAAACCAAATATGCAATACCTGCTCCCATCCATTCCTTAGAGACCTTGCTTTTGTTTAAATCCAATATTCACAAGCAATGAAGACCAAGAAGAGTGCAGATGGAAAATTATAAGCAATGATACCAACAAGTGAACACTTACTCAGTTTCAGATACTGTTTCACATGCTTTTCCTGTTTTTTCTTCATTTAATCTTCCAAAAGAATTCTAAAAAGTCTGGACTATTATTAAGCTCAAAGTCCCAAAGCTGATAAGCAATAGAAGCAGGCTTTAAACGGAAGCAGCACAACTCTCTACCATAGTAGAGCAAGTTCTCCCTTTCAGAAAGTGTCTGTTGTGTTGTTGCTGTTTAGTATCACTTCCCTTCTGCTTTAGGGTCTAAAGTAATTGATTTGGTTTTTCAATTGAGTTCTTAAGCTTCCACTCCCAAAAGAACTCTTATGATCTCTTACGATCATCTTAATTACTGTTAGAAACAGTAAATTCAAATAATAAAAGATGCCTAAAATCATACTCCTCATTTAGCATCTTGATAAGCTACCTTCCTACTCCATACCTTAGAACTCATTTATGGCTGGTATATGTAGGTGTGTAATAAAATATGTGTTGTTTTACTTATGATGAAGAAAGTAAGCCTTGTGTTTTTTAATTAAAAAGTGTGATCTCGGGCCGGCCGGGTGGCGCACTTGGTAGAGTGCAGCGCTCCCGCTGAGGGTTCGGATCCCATATAGAGACCGGTCCGCTCACTGGTTGAGCGTGGTACGGGTGCAACACCGAGGGTTGCGATCCCGTTGCCGGTCGCAGTACAGGCGCGACACCGAGGGTTGCGATCCTGTTATCGGTCACGAAAAAAGACAAAAAGGAAAAAAAAAGTGTGATTTCACACACTGGTATAATAAACAGCCATTATCAACGAGGCCTTCATTATTCACATCAATTCTTCTGACATGACCAAGCATGTGCTATTTGCCAAGCACTTTTCTGGGCACTGGTAAGATAGCATGCATGCAGGAAAGAAAAAAGCAACTGGCATTCTTGAGTATTTCAATGACCTAGAACCATTAGTTTAGCCCCATTAAGGGAATTAAATAGTGGTTTAATAAAAGAAAATGGGTGGAGAACCTAAAAAATATAAAGTTCTACTAATAGCAATTGGAGGAAATATACTCTACCTAGACAGGAGTTTCTGTCAAAAGTATCAGCTTTGAATCCAGTTCTACAGGAGCAGATGAATCCTCCTTCACTTAATTGGGTACAATTTTGTTCACATAAATTTTCAGCACATGTTCTTTCTTTTCCCCTATCTGAAAAACAAAATACCAGCATTACAAATGAGAGGTACATACCAGATCAGCCACACATGAACAGTCAAGTGGTGTATCAGAAGGAGTACCTATCCATAACCAGCTACAGGATCTCTTAAGATGACCCCTGTCCACAAGCCTTTGAGAAGATAGGGGCCATCTGGATTCTGATTTCTGGTATTGGTCTGAATGCTATTTACACAAACATATGTAATGTTAGATCCCTGAGGCAATTTTTCCATTATGCAGTGCTGTCAGGCTCACTCTCAGAGTATCCAATTCTAGAGTCCAGAACTATGAAGCCAGTTTGCTTCTTTTATCCTGTCTCCATCTACCCCCAAACAGAGGTCTTACAGAGAAGCTGATGAAAACGAATGTAGACAGCAAGTGGTGATGGGGGAGAACAGTGGTTATCTCCATAAAGGATTTAAGCTTCATCTACCTCTCAAATAAAATGTCTCTTGGTCACAGGCTTTTGAATATTTTAGCCAAAAAGACTGTGGTATCTCCTGGTTCAACTCTTTCAAATCAAAATAGCTTTATATCTATCTGTCTTCTATAACATGCAATGAGGTATAACGTAACCATTTCTCAGGGTCCCTTAGGATACATAACTATATCAGCATATGTGGTTTGAATAAACTAATAACACTGAGTTTTAAAAAAGAAAAAATAACCACAAGATAAAGCACAATGACATTCAATGGAATGTTGCCCTTGGAGTGCGTACTTTAAAACTGTGTACATGAAAGCTTTGTAAAAAAGATCTAGTCTGCACTCTTAACAACTAAACATTACCAAATAAGTCTATTAAGATTTTCTATTTCTTCTTGATCCCATTTCAGTATTTTGAGTCTTTCTAAAAATCTGTCCATGTCATCTAAGTTGTTCAATTTGTTGCCATAAATAGGTTTTCATAGTATTCCTTTATTATCTTTTAAATTTCTGTAAGGTTGGTCATAATTCATCTCTACATTGCTAAATAAATGTGACCCATTATTATAAACTTGGTGATCCCTAAAGCCAGTCACATAACCACTCTGGGTCTCATGTACATAATTAGATTTTGTAATAACTTCTCAGCTCTTAGAGGCCACAGGAGGCAAAACGTTCCGGACCAAGTGCTCCCTTGAGTGATCATACTGTCATGAAGCAAAAGTCCTTAACAAGAGCAGAAACCACATGACACTGTGGGATTCTTCCTCAACTATGAATACTTTCCTGTAACTTCTTTCATTTGAAAACAATCACCATTTTAATATAACAATCAATTTCTCCAAATCCAGACATATGACATTCTATTTATAAAAGAGGCACTCTATTTTCCACTTTACAAAGAAGGAATAAGAACCATCAGAAAGAGAAATACAGAGTCAATCTATCTTTATTTTATTTAAAAAAATTTTTGGAAGCTGGGTAGTAAGGTTCTCCAAACAATCTATCTTTATAATCACATATATAATATTTGCAACCTGAGGTTAACTTCTTTCCTTTACACTTGGTAAAGGAAAAATGTTAATGTCATTCCATTCCTAGAAATTTGTTAATAGATTTTAGGTGCTCTTAACACACACACACACACACACACACACACACACACACACACACACACACACACAGTGACTATGTGAGATGGAGGAGGAGGAGGAAAGGAGGGAGAAGAGGAGAAAGGAGGAAAAAAAAAGAAAATGGAGCACCCAAAAATTGGTATTTTAAATAAGAATCTATGCCTTAGTCAAATTATTAGCCCACAGCAGTAAGATTGAATTCCCTATCACATATCTACTTAATATCTGAAAAGAGAAGCTGCTCCCATACCCAAATTAATGCATATGCTACTTATTCTCTTTAAATAAACACTGCTTTTAATTAAATGCCATCTGAATAGAACATTCTGTGATCAATTTTAAGCCTTTTAACTGACACAGGTGGCTAAAAGAGAAACAAGTGTTTGACCCAAATCCAACTTGGAAATACTCAGAACTCCTGGACCTCTTCACATAGCAGTCTCTGGGTGTCCGAACCCAAACTGCCATCCAGCTTTGCAAATTCTGTCATGTTCAGCTTTTTAAATATTTACTCAAGTCACTTCATTATGTCAATAACTCAAGAAGGTATGTAAAATAAATGGCAAACCAACTTAGTGTGGCTGCTTATTCATCCCCCTTAATAACTCACAAAGGAGAAAAGTGGCCAGGAAACGCTTTGGATGCCTCAGAAAAAAATCGATTAAAGCCTAAGAAGTTGAAAGCACATGGAACTGACTAAGATGAAGAATTCCCTTCCTTTTTCCTGTGAGGAAATTGAGGCCTGGAGAGGTCACTATGTACCCAAAGTAGCGCAGCTGGTAGCAGAGGGACTAGAGGCCAGCCTGGAACCACAAGACTGTCCAAATAATGCCTCTGCCATCTTGTTTGATCTCAAGCAAGTTACTTAAGCTCCCTGAGCTTTATTATATAGATGGACAATAACAATGACCCAGTGGGGCTAACTTGGGTAACAAATTAGATAATGTATGTGAAAGCACTTCATGAGCTATAAAGAGACTATAAAGGTATGAATTAGTAACATGCCATTCCCACACTTCCATCAAAATAATCAGCTAGAATCATCCCTTGGTTATGTTCATCAGCCTTTTCTTACACAAAGTCCTCCCTCTACATTAAAAATAAAAATAAATGTTCTTTCCAAGGTCCTCTGTGGCATTCCCTTCTTTATCAGTTACCCTCAGAAGCTTTTCCCCTAAGTGCCAAGGATGCTGCATTTGCCTTAAGATGAAAAAATGCTATCTAATAAACAAAATCTGTAGCTTTACGGTGCAGAGATGCACCTAGTGAACAGGGAAGAGAATGTGCTCTGCAATTCAGTACACCAGAGCTCAAATCCTGAACCTCTTAATGACCAGTTTATTTAGCCTCCAAGCCAGTTTCTTTAATTGTGTTTTAAAAGGCAGGATAATAATACCTAATTCATAAGACTGTTACAAGGATGAAATGAGATAACCCATGTAGAATGTTTAGCACAACATCTGGTATAGAATAAGTGCTCAATAACAGGCAGCTGTGGGCTTGGCTGAAATTCAGAGCACAAAGTAAATTAAATAGAAATATCTGGTTATCATCTACTTTGTATTATTGCATGCTTTAGTTAGGTAAACCTGAGTCACTGCAATGAAGTATAAAAATTAGTGTTTACTTACTGCAACCCGTTTCATCAAATTGGTCACCACAGTCATCGACATCATCACATACATACTGCTGTAAAATGCAATTTCCATTGTTACACTTGAATTCATCTTCTGTACAAGGTCTAGGAGTTGGTTTTTTACCTGTAATGTAAAAACAAGTTATTATCAAAACTTCTGTGAAACAAGATCTTCCCTCCGTGGTAAAGACAGTGATTGCTCATCAAATAAACATGTGCTTTCCTACATTTCCCAGTCTCCCTTGCAGCTAGGTTGGGACCATGTGACTAGTTCTAGCCAATGGGCTGTGAGTTGGACGTGACATGTGCCACATCTGGGCTAGAGCAATTAAAAACCCATGTGCCTCCCCCATGTCTCTTACACTGCCGCAGTAACCTTGGAAGCCATGCGTTTCAGGTGGCGTAGCTACAAGGTGGAGGAGGGCTGTGCAGCCTACATTGGCCTTCATATGAGTGAGAAATATGTCTTTGTTATATTCTACCACGAGACTTTGGGATTTGTTGGTTGCAGCAGCTGGCATTAATTACTGTGAATAATACAGAGTGATGAGAGAAATATTTGGCAGTGGCTTTAACAGTCAGGAGGCAAGCAATAAGGAAACTGATATTGGGGCAGGAAGGATGGAGACCTATGTTATGCAATGGCAAAGCATTTGGTAAAGCTCTCATCTCAGAAAAACTGGAAAGCCGACCACATGCTTAAGAACCTGTCAATTAGAGAAAGAGGTTAGAAAATAGAATGTTACTAATGAGCACTGGTTGCCATTACCTGAGTTTGGCAAGGTGGTATAAGGAAGAGAGAAGTGCAGGGAAGAACTGGTTGATTTCCAAGAAGAAATGAAAGAAAATAAAGTCCAGAAATTCGCAGTGTTGGGCAAAGCCAACCACATTTAGACTTTGAAGTTTAAAAGGCTTTGAGACACAAAGGTCCAGTAAAACCTCTTAGTTGGAAAAAAGTGTCTGCCCATCTACTTTTCTAGAGGGCCTGAATGTAAGTGATCATCAGTAGAGATGCGGGTGCATGAGCGAAAGTAAGCCAAGAAATAAAGCAGATGCAGGAACTATGTCTCAAAAAGAACACGCGTGAGGTTATTGACTTTTAGAACTGACTGGTAGCAAACAAATCAAAAGTCTGCTAGGTTTCTGGAAGAAATACATAACCAAATAAACCAAAAGACTAAAAAATTCTTGGGCCCCCAACCCTGTACAAGCAGGAAGTGGGCATTACATGATCAGGAGATAAACCTCTGCTGCTTTAGGCCATTGAAATGTTGCAGTTTGCCTATTGTGAAAGTTAGCAGTGATTCCTCTGACTAAAACCCTGCTTCTTGGGAAGAATATAAGCTTACTGCTCCTTTGTTCCATTATTGGATTTGACCATGTGTATAAATGAAAAAAATGGGCACTAGAAGTAGGGGAAATGGAAAGACAAAAGGAGAAGGAGGAATCCTGCTCAAAGTTTTTAAAAATGTTTTATTTTTGGGTTTTCATTCTTTTGTGCTATGGCTATGCTGCAAATAAACATAGTAACAATCTTATAACCACAGATTCATCTCTGCCAAAGGGATAATAATAATAAGGGTATAAACCTGAACACTGCAGTCGTGCCAAAGTCCTCCATGACACACAGTCCCCACTGGGATGAGAGCTGGCAATGAGCATTCTAAGGCCACATCAATACAGGGGATGGAAAATGGAAATATCAGGCATTTAACTAGGTTTTCAAGATTTTTAGGGGGAAAAAAAGGTAATTGGGGTCAGGGGAGATAATTTTCCTCACTGACTTTTTTGTAGGCAAATTAAATGGCCCAGAAAATTCATTAACTCTACCCTTCAATGGACAGATTTTAAAACATTCTCAAAGTATAGAAAAAGCACAGATATTTCAAGACCTAAAATATTAAACCAGTTTGAAACTTCTATCTTAAACTAACCTATCATTTTTATCTTCTGAGAAATGAATTTTCATTTTCAAGAAGGATATTAGATAAGCTCTGTTAATACCAATGCTGCCTTATTTAACATGATCTTTTCAGCAGGGTGTTGAGAAGGAATATTCATTCACATGTCTAGATTAGCAATTTGCAACTCTAGGTTGAAGAAATCTCATCTTTGAAAACAAATAAATTACTAATTTGTTAAGTGTGACTCAAAAACTATTTAATGTTCTCTTATGAGAAGACTGAAAAATTAAGGAATATGCCAACATCCTGATAAATGAGATAGGAAGAAGTGGGCAGGGTTGCATCTGATAATGTCTTGTGAGCAATTATATGTTTTGTGAACAATTGCATGGTGTGTGAATAATTATGATCTGCAGTCATAGGTACAACTCAAGCATCTATAAATCAAACTGAAATCACAGAGGCACATTTTGCAAACTTCAGTCGATTTGGGGCCCTTAGTTTTTCCTTCTCCCTTCTGACTTTTGCTTACAGTTCTCCTCTTTCTCATCAGTTCCATCTCCACAGTCATCCACACCATTGCACAGCCTGTGACTATAAATACAGCGATTGTTGTCACAACGGAAACGGCCTGGTGATTCACAGGGAACACTCACTGAAAGGAAAGATGGAAAAATGAAAGCACAAGTTAAGAGCAGAACATAAGTGTCAATATCTAAAATACTCCTCTGCCAGCACCAGGCTTGCTTCATTCATTCAATCATTCATTCACTTATGTATTTTATTAATCAATCAACAAATATATCTTGTGTATCTAGTACACACCCAGGCACTGTGTTAGGCACTAGATACTTTCATTCTAGTGCAGAAACCGACTTTACAAATTAACCGTTCAATTACAACTGTGAAGCATCAGCAGGGGGGATCTGATATAGATCAGGGAGAGGCTTTTCCTTCCTGAATTCCCTCACCTCTTACATTTAAAGTTGGTATGGCACAAGCACAATCTGACTCATTTTGTTGTCCAGAGCGAGACCCCTAGCTGCTACTTGCACAGCTGTGAGGAATCCAAGAGTAGCACCTAATTCCCTGACTTGTTTGGTTCAGGGGATATAGTTCTCTCTACATGTGTCAGGAATGTGATGAACTCAACATACATCTGTGTTCTTTTTTCACATGGAGGACTTGAGCTGTTTGATTTTCCTTCTGCCTTTGTCCCACATACAAGGATCAAGTGAAGAGACTTGTAACGAGGTTGGCTGGGGAAAAAGTCAGATCCAAGGGCTGGTTCTTGGAAATATTGTTAATAGAACTATTGCAAGAATTATTCGCTGTGAAAGGCAAGTGCAGCATTACAAAACAGTGTTGGTCACTTTTTAATGTGGCTATGTTCCTTCCTCTCCAAAGTTTAACTTTACTACCTATAGGCATTTTATCTTACGAAGAAAACTGACTTCCTAAGAATTTCTTTGAAAGTTATACATGCTTAAGATATCTTTCAAAATTCATCTAGTTAAAAACAAAACAAAAAACATGACTAGTTCCTAACAAGTAAAGAGAAAGCAAGAAAAATATTACAATGCTACCGTGAAAATAAAATGTACAGTAATTATAGTTCTCTAGGAGGGAAGGAAATACTCTGATATATCTTTTTCAAGAGTCAAATCCCTGGGCTAAAAATGAGTAGTGACGAATCTAGGAAAGGGAATGGAAGAGGCGATGTGTAAAGAAGCAAAACTGCAGCTAAGTCAGGTGGGAGCTAATCAAGAGTTCCCGCAGGAATATTTCTAGGGGTACTTTCTCCTGTGTTGAGGGCTTTTACGTACACAAAATCCTTACACATTAGTTTGCATCAGCATCACTTGGAGGGCTCGTTAATGCATAGACTGCTGGGTCCCACCGCTGGAGACTGCAACTGGATAGGTCTGGGGTGGTGCCCCCAAATTTGCATTTCTAACAAGTTCCCAAGTGATACTGGCACTTCTAGTCCAGGGAAGACAACTACCGCTCTAGAGCTTCTCCAATGACTCAAAAAAGCATGCAGCAAAATAATCAAAACAAACTCTACTTTCATTCACTTTATTAAAATCAGTAATTCTCCACTGAAAAGCTAAGATCTTTTTAAATATACATACACCCAAGGCCCCATCCTTGGAGATTCTGGTCACTAGGTCTAAGCCTGGGGTGAGGCCAGGGTACATGATTTTGAAGAACCCCCTCCCCCATCAATTCTGACACAAACCCAAATTGAGATTCACTGGCTTAAAAAATAAATATGAGGCCGGCCCGGTGGCGCACTGGATAGTGCGCCGCTTGGGAAGCGCGGCGGCGCTCCCGACCGAGGGTTCGGATCCCACATACAGACCAGTTCCCGCTCGCTGGCTGAGCGAGGCGCGGGAGCAACACCGAGGCTTGCAATCCCGTTGCCGGTCCCCGGTCCGGTGCGGGGGCAACACTGAGGGTTGCGATCCGTTGCCGGATACGGAAAAAAGACAAAAGACAAAAAAATATAAATAAATAAATAAATAAATAAATATGCATCATTCAGTGAAATGGCCTTGAATTGTGACATTAAAGGGAAGTGACTTTAAGGATTAAATAAGTCTTAAAATTTTCTAAAGGTGCTCTAGGAAGTTCTAAGGGTTTAGAGAGGGTACTTAAAGCGGCAACAAAAGTAGGATGGAGCAGAAGAGGTACAACACCCACTCCTCCTCCTCTGACTTCAGCCACAACAGACCTGCCTCTATTCATGCGCACTGGGTTTCCAAGTAAGATTTCTTTTGAAGAAATTGTTTTCTAAGGCCATAAAGTGTTTAAAACCATGGATGTCTGTCTGCCCAACTTTCTCAGGTTACAGATAAGAGAACGGAAGCAGGAAGGCCAAGGGAAATCACCCCAATGCTGATTCTGTGTCCAGTCCTCAAAAACTGTACAACTGCCCTCCAGGATCACAAGCTATATGTAAGAAACACCAAGATCTTGCCAGACATCACCACTCCCCATTCCTCTCCCTCTTACAGCACAGGTGAAGTTCTTCATCAGAACCATCGCCACAGTCGTTATCGCCATCGCATTTCCAAAAGGGCTGGATACAAACATGGTTTTTACATTCGAACATGGTACCCGGGCAGTATGCACCATTGGGAAAGCGAGTGGCTATTGGTGGAGAGGAGACATATTCAAATTATTAGACAAACTTACCAGTTTTGGAAAGCTATCCTGCTATTTCTCCTTGAGCCCTTGCCTGTTCTTCCTTATTCATCCAGATGTACTGCGGCCTTAATCTTTCTGAGATTCTAATGAAATATATTTTAAGGACAATTGTCCGAGCCCAGTTTTCAATGACATGAGTCATCCTGTGGATAGCTGGACTTTGTCTCTACAGGCCAGTACAACTCTTCAGCTGGACCAGGACACAGGTTTTGAAACATGGCAACAACATCATCAACAGTATCCATTAGAGCATTTATTCAGGAATTCATAAAGAGTAAAATGTGTATGATCATATTGGGTTTACATTTTTAATAATTTTGTATGCTATAATTCAGAAAATCGTTACTAGTACCCAACCCAAGTTCTTCATACTAGTTTATTCATTGCTTGAATAATTTTTCTCTGAAATGTTTTTTATCCAGTTAATAATTTGTATGGTAGCTGATAATATATATAAGTTGTTAGCATAGACTATTTAATGCATTCTCTATTTAAAATATTGTTAATAAAATGCACTTAAATGACCACTTTAAAATACATGGATATGATGACTCAGACCCCAGGTGAACTGATAATTATCAATGAATGCTGAACAGTAAATACTTATGGCCCCTTAATCTAAGAAGTGGTAGCTGACAAGTAGCTAAACTACCATATCTGTACATTTCAGGTCAGCAGTGCCACATGTGTCTAGGGACTTACGACAAGTGTATTCATCAGATGCATCAGCACAGTCAGCAGTTCCATCACATTTCAAGTCACTGGGCACGCAGTGTCCGCTTGTACACTGAAAATATTCAGGATGGCAGGTCCTCATCTCTGAAGAGAAAAGACTGTCATTCCCAGAAGGCCTTGTCATTTTCAGACAGGTATTAGGTCCCTGGAGTGTAGCAAGTACCCCATCACATTCCTATCCATGCCCTGTGATGGGCGCACAACAAACCCACAACTTGTGGTTACCAAATGAGTAACTTCTCAAAACTCACACTTTCCCCACTCAGTATATGGAGATGGAAGTACCAATCTCCCTTCTATTAAATAATCTCCAGCTCTTAAGTTTTGCCTCAGAAATCAGAATTCCCCAGTTTTTAATGTTTCCTCATTTTCCTCAGATGCAACACTTAATCGTCAAAGAACTATAAACATTACTTAGGGTGTAGGATTCCTATCCCGATGCCCTGACCTCTACTCCAGAGAGCTACAGTAGCATGTTCCTTATAGTGACTATCTGTGGAAGTTGGAAGATCAACGTCTTTATTGTTTACAAGGCCAATTAGGATTAAAGTCTGCTCCTAGGAAATGTTAAAATTAAAATGAGATTTTTAAAAATTCCTTGCTGTTTTCCCAAATTATGATTGATCTAGACTGATATAAGAATAAAACAGAAAGTAGAGGGCAGAAGATACTATGTTATGCTAAAGTTTATTTATTACATAAACTACACAAAAATCATTTTACTGTAAAAGACCTTAGGTTCACTTGAAGCCCCTGCTCATCACAGTCAAGACTCTATAGCAAGCTTCTCAGAAAACTCTGACAGTTACCACAGTCCCGCTCATCTGAGTTGTCCCCACAGTCATTGTTATGGTCACAGATCCATCGAGAGGGAATACACTGGTGATTGGCACATCGAAACTCACTCTCCGTGCACTGCCGGGGGACTGAAAAGGAAAGCCACATGGCCATCAGTGTGCACCAGGAATCACACATAGGCTTTTGAGCAGGACAAAGTGCCCTCAGTGCCCAATGCTCTCCTGTGTACTAGTCCCAGAGGTCTGCTTGGGCAGATCATTCGTACTCCAAAACTAGATCTTCCACCTCAATTTTAACTCTGTAAAGAATGGCCTTTATTAAGAGGTTTGTCCAAAGATGATTTGATCCTAAGATAATTTTTGATTTCATGGAAATCTAGATAAACTCTTATAGGATACATCATGAACTTTTTTTATATAAACAATAAAATGCCAATTGGATTGCCCTTTTGTGTAAGAAGGTTTTAGCTGATTGATATTTGCAGATGTAATCAGCATCTTAATTCTCTCACTTGTCTGTGGCAAATGGTGTTTGCTTCTTACTTCCAACAGGTACTAAAATTAAAATGTATTTCGTATTTGTCAGTTTGAAATTGACATATATCATGAGTCAATGATATAAGGTCCGGGCAGGGCTTCATTGAAGTTGTTTTCAAAATATACGCGATTATGCAGTTTGATGTGATGCAGACCTTTGGATCTTTCTTTCCTCAACCTCCCTGTCCAATTCCTTGTAGTCAGCACCTCCAACTGGGAGAGAAGGAACTAAAACCTGACCCATTACTTAACCATTAGCTCTCCTAAAATAGTCAGCTATTCCAGGAAAGATAACAATCCAAACACAATTTCTCTATTAGCCCATTTTTGGGAAAAAGCTTAAGAAGCGCCTTTCTTTCCTCTACTTCTCTTGGCCCTGATTTTCTATTTCTATTATTATATTTGCCCATTATAGTCAGTCACCTCAAGCTCTTCTTAGAAAAGAAGTTGAGTGTAAAATAAACAAATGATAAACTTCAGTAAATATCCTCCTCCCAAAGCTTGATTTTTAGCATCTCTCATAAGACACTTATGTCTTTAGTTAAAGAGAAAGCAGAAATATACCAACCAACAATAAGAAAGAGACCAAAGAGCTGTCATCCTTCCCTTTGAGGATGAATGGCATAGACAGTTGAATATACACAAAGAGCAGACATCACAGCTCTGGTGGCACATAAGGACTCTGAATACTCACCACAGTTTTCCTCATCCGAGTTATCGCCACAGTCATTGTACCCGTCACATTTCCAGCGAAGAGGGATGCAGTGGTGATTTTTACAGCGGAAATCCCCCAAAGGATTGCATGTCATCTCCTCTGCAAAGCACAGTCATTGCAAAGATTTCATAAGCCAGTGGTCAAGAAATGCACCAAGCAGAACTGACTTCACTGTGAGACAGTCTGAGAATTACGTTATCACATTCTTGAAGCTCCCAGAGAGAGGGATGCCAGAAACATTCATTGTCAATATTCCTCTTTTAGCTAACCTGAACCTATCCTATTTCTTGAAACTAGATCCATTCCCTTTTAGAGAAACTGCTCAAAAAATGAATAGGTATCTGGTTTGTAACTTGCAACAAAGGCATGGTATGGGAAGCTAAAACGAAGCCACAAGCAAATAAAACATGTCTATCACACGTCTTTAATCTATTAGACCCAGTATTACTAAAATAGTCCATTTTCTTCCTTATCCCTCTTTCAATCCAACCCTATATGCACACTCATAGACACTTTGGCTTCAAGTTAGAGTTTTTGACTAATCTTGACAAATTCCATTAATTTATTTGGCCTTTAATTTATAAGTTCTTTCTTTTTTTTTTTTTTTTTTCCTTTTTTTGTCTTTTTTCGTGACCGGCAACAGATCGCAACCCTCAGTGTTGCGCCCGCACCGGACCGGGACCAGCAACGGGATCGCAACCCTCGGCGCTGCCCCCGCACCTCGCTCAGCCAGTGAGCGGCCGGTCTATATGTGGGATCCGAACCCTCGGTGGGAGCGCCGCCACGCTTCCCAAGTGGCGCACTGTAGCAGTGCGCCACCGGGCCAGCCCTTAATTTATAAGTTCTTTCTATGTTACCAGAGTAACTACGGCAGTCCAATAGATGATATGGAAAATTAGAAAGACAACCAGAATATAAAAATCCCCAGATAAGAAATATTCTGATTTGGAAATATCCTTTTTGGAGATAGATACCACATCTTTTCTTTACCCGCTGTCCACCAATTTCAATTAATCCATAAGATTAGACAAACATCTTTATGTGTTGAGTATGAATAAGGATTCTACATTTGGGAGAAATTACATCTTAATAATGTCTTCCTCGATTATGGCATCTTTTGGAATGGGATGTTAAGATAATACAAATTAAATTCCCTCAATAACCCTGTAAAAGAAATGCTACACATATGTAACATGTCATTGAAGAATCAACAAAAGGTCTTTTTACAGAAGTAAACGAAGGACAGAGGACATGGGAAATCACTCTCATCCCTCACTGAATAATGGCACTTGACCTGTCCCTCCCCCACTCCCCCACAGCCCCTCCTACCACAGCCTTCCTCATCACTGTTGTCCCTGCAGTCATTGACACCATTGCACAGGGCCCACTGTGGGATGCAGCGGTAGTTTGTTTTACAGCTGAATTCTGTATGGTTGTCACAGCGATGGGCAGAGCTCACTGAAAAGACAGGAAGCAGCAAAGTCAGCAGGAAACGGCACCAGAAGGCACTTTTCCACTGTTGTGTTACCAACTAAATGCACTCTGGCAACATGTGTCTGGTTTAGGTGTCTTCTGTTTTTCAAGGGCAGAGAAACGGAGCCCTAAGTTTTCTCACTAGCTCAATACTACTCATTTGTGTTGCAGTACAACTATGTGGGGGAAGAGAGGACTGAATTTGAAGTTAAAAACCTGGGTTGAAGTGTTAGTTCTGCCACTAAATAGTAATGGGATCATCCACTTAATGTGAGTCTCAGTTTCTTCATCTGTACAATGGGAATCAGTTAATACCCACCTTCCCTAACTCACGATCTTTCTCTAAGGCTCTAATGAGAGAGCACTAGGTACACTAACTGTAGGTTCTTGTTATATTCTGGACAGTTAGCCATTCAGTGTTATCAAGAGGAGGTATCAGATACTTCAGAAACAGGATCTGGTCCAACCTGCAGGCCCTACAGCTATACTTGGCCTTGCTGTGCCAGAGTTCCAGGGGGGGCCAAGAAGGGGTGTCACGTGGGTCTGAAGCAGGGGGCTCCATGTCCTCTCTCAGTGCACACGGAGGTTCTCCTCATCTCCCTGCTCTGGTCATGCCCTGCCCCGCTCACGGAAACTTACAGCACTCATGGATGGGCTCATCTGAGTAGTCTCCACAGTCATTATCCACATCACACTTCCAGGACTGAGGGATGCAACGGCCATTGGCACATTTAAACTGGCCTGGCCGGCAGGTCCTGCTGGCACAGTGGGAACTATCTTCATCTGAGTTATCCCCGCAGTCATTCACTGTGTCGCACTGCCAGGATTCTGGGATGCAACGCTTGTTGGCACACTGCCATTCATTGGACTCACACTCGTGATTCTCTGCAAGCAGGGGCATTTGGTTATCAGCTTGGAAGGCGTCAAGAATGGAACCCCCTGATTCACACGATGGATCCTGGAGAACTCAATCGTAATTTCTTTTCAGAGACCTTGGGCAGTTATTCCTATTACTGTCTTCCAAATTCTCAAATATCTTTTTCTTGCATGCAGAATTAAGGGATAAGAACTAAATCCCTTGGCCTGCTAAATACACCTTCTTCTCATGTCCCTATTCCCCTATTGGACAATGGCTTTCAAACTATGATGCTGTTGTAAATGTTTTATTTTTAGTTTGGAAGTTTGTTTTTTTATTTGCCTTTTTTAATGGAAACATAAATAAATGTTACAACCGAGAGTCCTTATTTAAAATGTGGGTGGAAAACCTTCATTTCACCCTCACTGTTAGCTCTTAAGGAGGATTCTATGCCTAGCACATGGTGAGGAACCACCAATATAGACAACTTACAATCAACCTACCCCAACCATTTGTCTAGCAGAGACCTTAGGATTTCTAGAAAACTTTATAAAAATAGATATAGGGTGGACCCTGAGTGTCCTCATAGGACTTTGAACTGATTTTGGGTTTATGGCATTCAGGAAATCCCCACAGAATCATGACTGTGCACAAGCAACATAGAAATGGGCAAAACAGGCAGGAAGCTATTGAACACACCACAGAGCACAAGGTCTTCATCGGACCCGTCGGGGCAGTCTTGGTAAGTATTGCATAAGGCCTGGGGGCTCGTGCAGTTGCCGTCCCTGCACTGGAACTCTCCGACCCGGCAGTAGCGCTGCGGGCAAAGGGCCGGCTCATCAGACCCATCCGAGCAGTCTCTCTGTCCATCACATTTCCACCAGATAGGAATGCACCTGTACAGAGAAAACATAGCACTTCTCTAGCACGGCCCCAGGGCTAGAGCAGCAGGCAATGGCTATCTGGAAAGAAATCAACACTCAATTCCAAAGTGAGTTCTCTTATGGCCCTAGAAGAAGATCACTTAGATCCCGGTTACTGTGGTATATTTTCAGAGAAAACATAACTAGATGAGCTAGAACAGGTTTGTTAAGACCCAGATATGCTTTGGTATGATGATGACGTTCCTTCCACACAAACGATGGAGTGGGCATTTTGAGCTATGTTTCTAGAAGCAGTGATTGGTGAGATTGTCTGCTAGGGAGGCAGACACACAGGTACCAGTTGGGAAGCTGGAGAGCACAAACAACTGTTGACTGCCTATGTCATAATAGGTGTGTGCTAGATTCTTAATCTCACACGTCTTATTTAATCATCAAAATAATCTGCCATTGCATCTTAGGAGCTATGATTTGCATTAATGCCTTTCTCTACTCCATTCTCTGACTTAGTCCTTCTGGTCCCTCTGGCCCTTGTTAGGGAAATAATATGTGGCCATGTTTCATAGCAAACACTAATGATCAAAAATGAATTTGAATGTATAACTAGATCCTCTGGCATAGGTAACTAAGGAGGTAGGCCAGTAAGGTGTGGAAAAGACAGTGAAATTCTATCTACTATTTTTTAGTACAAACACTCTGGCCCTGACACTCAGGACAATTTATTAGAAATAAGAAATACATAGTTTGCTTCCTCTCTATAAAAACCTGCATACACAGGTGTAACAGTTCAGTTAACAAATTCTTTCTATGAATAGAGACTGAAGTTAGAGACTGAGAGTTCTGGTGTGTTCCACTTGAACCAAACCAGTTAAACAAAATCTTGATTCATTAGAAAACTCCCATCCCTTACAGCCTTAAATTTCAATGTGTGTTCAGGGATGGAGAGGCACTGGTGAAAGGGCAAAGAGCCTTACTTTTCATTGTTAGCACACAGGAACTGGGTGCTAGAGCACATGGGCACACAGTAGGTTTTTTCAGGCAGCCGAAGAGCCCTGAAGTCATCTGGACACTCACAGGTGAATCCTTTCCCTCCTGCTTTGATGAGGCAGAGATGAGAACAGCCACCATTGTTGGTACCACAGGGATTGGCCACTAGTAAAAAAGGAAGAAAACATCAAGCACAGAGTAACTGTTTAGCCACCCTGACATTAAACTCATCACTTCTTAGAGAGTAAGAAAAAGCATTAGCCTAGTTGTATGCCTTTTCAAAAGTTTGTAAATAGGACAGATGATAGAGATATATAAGCAACAATCCTGTGCTTTGAGAAAACTCAGTTATGTGCTACCAGAAGTGAGGCATACCTACTGGTGTTTTGACTAGCAAAGATGTTTTTCTCTGAGTCGTGGGAAAGCAGGTAGGAAACTCTCAGGTAGGCAGCTTACATTCATGTGCTCAGAACCTAAGTTAATATTTTAATTTCCAGCAGGTGCTAAGATCATTCCCTCATTCTAAGGATACAGGCAACAGAAGTCTGGCCAATACTGATGTGTGATGATATCAACACCTTTCCTAGTTTTCTGGGTCACAACTTGAGGGTGAAGATTAACTTAACTTCTAATAAAGTAACATGAAGAATACTAACTTCCAGAAAGAACCACTGAATATCTCTATTTCGCTAATTCTCATTTTTCCTTACTTCCAAGTTTATCATGCTTTTACAAGACACCACAACAAAGCAGACCCACGAAAAACCAATCTGTCCTCAAAATATACTCCAGACCTTGCTAGATTATCTCTAAATCATAAAAGTGGCTTTAATTTCATGAAGAGGACTATTAAGTTCACAAGTGAATATAAAACAGATTCTCTAACCTATGAGACGCTAAAATGTGTTGCTCTTGACGTCATTATCTTCTAGAAGACATGAATAACATCTACAAGTGTTCGATGTACAACCCAATGACATGTGCAAATAGATATTTAATAAATGTTTTTACTATAATGGTTGTGATTTTCTTTTAAACATTTCTTTTAAACTAGATTTAACTAGGTATTAAGGAATGATTGTTAATGTCATAATTGCATTATGGTTATATAAGAAAATGCCCTTATTTTTCTTTTTTTTTTCATTAAATTTTTATTTTGTCAATATACAATGTATATGATTATTATGGCCCATCACCAACACCTCCCTCCCTCCCCCCTCTGCCCTCCCCCCCAAGAATGTCCTTTCCGTTTGCTTGTTGTAACAACTTCAAAAAGGTATAGTTGTTATATCTTCTTCCCCCCCCCCCCGGTTTTTTTGTGTGTGTATGTGGGTGAATTAATTTG